CACTAAAGGTTGAAAATTGAAACCACTGACACCACACTCTTGCACAATCCAGGGGAATTTTAAAATTAAAAGAGTGCTTGCTTGACTCATATAACTCCAGTTTTCTCACTTTTATCTCCTTAAATACTATTTGCAACAACAGTTATAGAAACTTTCTGTTTTTGCATATATCCAACCATTAGCCACTTAAAAATGTTAAATGGTTATTCTCATTGGAAGAATAGATGGAGAATTTCTATGTTGGCAAAGGGATATATTATTAGATGTCAAAAATCAGTGACAGTCTCCTGACAACAGGAGGAAAGCTGTAAAGAATACTTCCTTTAATTTGTCAATACTGATTTCTCTATCACAAAATAAAATTACTCCATCTTGAACTTGTTGAACATGAGAGGACTTTTAAAGGGAATAATTACCTTCAAGCCTTCCTGATAAAATTACTAGGTGGTTTTTCCCAAGTGGATAATACAGTAAGGTCATGTTGATGATCATAACTTTTGCTCTCAATAATAAGTGCATTTTGTTTGTTCATCCACAATTGTACCCAACAGCAAAGAAAAATAATTAGCATGTGTTTGTGTAGATAAGACTAACATAATGTGTGAAAACAATTCCATTCAATGGTATTACCTGAAAATCATCTGTCCTAGGGGTTTATATTTTCAAACTATCATTTTAGTAATAATTAATAGCTAGTTGTTATATAGCACTTTAAGGTTTTCAAAACTCTTTACAAGTGTTATCTCATTTGATCCTCACAAGAACCCAGGGAGGTTTGTGCTATTATTATCCCCATTTTATGGATGAAGAAACTGAGGCAGACAAAGGTTAAGTGATTTGCAATTTTAATATTCTCAAATGATATGCAAAATTCCACCTTCAAAAAAGCAAGAGTCCTAAGTTTAAGTAACAATCAGAACAAGAGTAAATCAAAATGCCATTCATTTTCCTAAAACCATTTCAATTTAAAATCTAAAATTAATTTAAATTAAATTTAAAACACTTTAATCACTCTCTGTGAGGACTCACCTTTCCACCTGGTCAAAGGTAAACTCATCAGATCCTTCTATTAACTGAAATAAACTATTAAATCAAGTAATCAGACTTATTTATTCTCTTTGATCATTACTTTAATTGATTCAAGTTATTAGGAAAAGAATATACTGCCCTTAATGTGGATCCATTAAGGTCCTGCTCTGGTCACCTCCTCAACTCCATCTTCACTGATAACAAGAACTCTCGCCTGAAATTTTACCTAGTATCTTCAAAAACATATTGAAGCCTTGATGAAGAAAGGGGAGGTATTTAATGCAGGGTTTTATTTCCTATAAGTGTAATCAAGTATTCATATTTCTTATTCAACTGGGATGATACGCTTTGAGACTAAAATTTTGTCCTAATATCATCTTGCGATATGTAACCTAAAGAGTCAAGAAGGAGCTTCCACAATTGGTACAAAAATATTTTTTCTATAAATGTTATTATTAATAATAATATTTTAGGGATAGCAATGTGATTGAATATGCTTAATTATTTTTGTAAACCTTGGTTTAACACTGTTACAGTGATTCTCAAAGATCTGGTTCTAAATTTTTATTTTTAATTAATATGTTGTTTTAATGGCTATTATAGCTGGAAAAACATACCTTACATTAATCCCAATGGATGAAGCATATTGATTGTTGGCTGCATTTATGAAATCATGATATTCCTGCCCACTATTTTTGCTAAGGATTTGTTTAATTTTCTATCTTCCATGATATCAAGTATTAAATCAGAAAATGTTATGTTTTTGTATTTTAAATGGGTTTGAAACCCACTGAAGCCTTTCATTTAGAAAAATTTTGAACAAGTTATAAAATTCTATTTCTTTTTTTGCAGGGCAGATATGATTTTTTAGGTAACACCATTTTGGGTAGTATAAACTTAATTTTTCAATGTCTTCCTAATAATGATAACTTTATATTGTCATGAGCTAATATTAAGATGAAGATCTTCATTAATGATGATGCATATAAATCCATTCTTCAAATAATCTTGAAGCTTTTGGACTTTTTGCTAAATCAAATTGGATTTTCATTGTACTTCATGAAATGGCTGATGAAGAGCTCGTATCAGGAGTAGATGTTTCAGCTCTATCATTTTTTTCTTCACATGCTCACATTATTATCTATAGTTTCCTTGCAGAAATACTTATTGGTAACATTTCCATTTTGTTGGGGTTAGTTCAATTAAAATTAGATAATATAATACATGAATCCACTTAACCAGACATTCTTGTGCTCCTTTAGATTATAATACTCTGAAAGTAAATAAAGAAGTAAGAACACAGTTTCAGCCCCTTCAAATTTGGGAAATCTCACTCTTCCTTTAAGATACTTCATATAGCAACAATGCCGTATTACTAGCCAAAAATGGACCAAGTAGGAGTACCAGCATCAATTCACACGTAAAAACCATAGTAAAGCTTACTTTTTAAAGTAAAAATAAATTGAAATTCTAATATTTTCCTTGTATACCTTCAATTGGTTATCTTACATACTCTTTGGGTAGTATTCACCCTACTTTAAAAACAACTGCGCTAAAAGACTGTTCTTAATATGGGAAGAATTTCATTGACACAACCTTTTATAACTTCATACATTGTTATAATCTTTCACTCTGATAACTTCTATTGCAGTGCTTGGACCTCACCCAAATCTTCTGTTTAGAGCTCACCCAGTGACTGTGTTTGGACTATACCCAATCTTTATTAGATATTCAAACTTACCAAGTAATATACATCACCAGGGGCATCCAGATGGCAAACTAGATACAGTGTCAGGTCTGAAATCAGGAATATTCATCTTCCTGATTTCAAATTTGTCCTCAGACACTTACTAGCTATGTGACCCTGGACAAGTCAGTTAACCCTGTTTGCTTCAGTTTCCACATCTCTAAAATAAGCTGGAGAAGGAAATGGCAAACCGTGCTAGTATCTTTGCTAAGAAACCACAAATGAGGTCCTGAAGAGTCAGACATGACTGAAAAACAACTGAACAACAACAATACATCTCAAACAACCCACACGTCTTATCTGGAAATTATCTAGTGTACCCCACTCAGCTACTTGTCTTTGTGTCCTAATTTGAACTCAATGTAATGTAAAATTCACAAAGACTGAGGGAGAAGGAGCAACACCTTTTTCTGGCTCTCTCCTCTGATCAATTACTCTAATAAAATTCTTTCTAAAAACCCCTTTTTATGAATTTTGGTATTTGTCCTCCATCAGCATCAGTCAGAAAATATAGATAGATAGATAGAGAGATAGATAGATAGATAGATAGATAGATAGATAGATAGGTAGATAGATAGATAGATAGAGATAGAGATATATAGATCAAACACCTACCAGAAGTGAAGCCCTGAGCTAAGCACTGGGGATACAAAGAAAGGCAAAAGATAGTCCTGACTCTTAAGGAGCTCACAGTCTGATGGGGGAGAGACACTTTCCAAAAAATGTACAAATAAGTTATGTGCAATAAAAATTCAAAATAATCAATAGAGGAAAGGTACTAGAATTAAGTAGAATGGGAAAGGCTTCTTGTTGAGGGTAGGAATCTTAGTGCCCTTCAACTCACACCATGAAGACAGATGGCCAACATAAGGCTGACTCTATATAGCATTGACCTTCAAGACTTATATATTTAATGAATGCTCATTAATAACATTAAGATTTCTGTGGGTCATTTAAAAATAGGGTTATACTGAAATAGTGTCAATAGCTAAGATTTGGCCTAATTCTACATTTTTCTTTATTCCATTGGGCATTGTGCTCAAGTCAGAATGTGGCAGAATCAGACCTAGATGGAATAGTTTCCTCCAAATTTGGAATGCAAACTAAAATATAAAATGTACATTTGAAACAAAGATGGAAGCACATTTTGGAATGTAAAAGGTTGTAAGTATAGTTGTATTTACTGGTACTTTGCCAATGGCTTAGTCACAAATAGTAAAAACTTTACTCTTAGTGAAACAAATGGTTGTAACTCCCCAGAGGTCAACAGAGTGTTTTGTTCTATGGTCTGTGGGGGTGTCCTTTGCCTCCATGCCTCACACTCAAATCTCTCAGCACAAGAAATAGAAATATTCAGTTCTCTGTAGTTTGTTGCCTGTTATCACAAGAATGCACAAGAATTTGGGCAGGTTACTTTGTGGAGTTACCTCAAACCTAAAAATATATCTTTCACCATATGTCTTTATTGATTGATCTAAGGTTTTTAAACAGATTTATACCTTCAGATTTTAAATCAAATGCTATTTAAAGTTCTAGAAAAATTATTTCCTTACATGTGTGTTTTAACCTAACAAATCAACAAATCCACAGGTATTTCATACATAGCTACTAGGAACTTTGCACAGTCTAAATAACGTAGATTCAAGACATGGTACCTGCTCTTCCCAACAAGTTATAATCTAGTTTGGGATATATCAATCCTGGCTTCTGACAAGCCTTATCCCTTTAAGTAGCTGAGGGATACAATATAGTTACGGGTCAATCCTCAACTGAAAGGAAAATCGCTGAATGTAGACACTATCATTTTGGTGAGAGCCCTAGACACCCATATTACTCTTGCTTCTCTGGCTTTTCTAATTCCAGCTCATCCATGTCCTTTTGGGCTTATGTCTCTATCTGCCTATTCTAAAGTATTAGACTGGGATTGACTCCTGGTATCTGGTTTCAATGAACTTAAGTTATTTGAATAGCCTCAATTTACTGAGACTCAGTTCCCTCATCTAGAAAATTAGGGGTTAGATTGGATGTAGTTGATCCAAGGACTTCTTCAACTGTGTAATGATATAATCCTTTGATATGAATATGCATCTGTTGACTCCCTTCTGATAAAAATTAACACAAAGTCTAGCATGGATTATACTTTTGAAATTGGTTTTCTTAACCTAAGTCTAAGACTTCATATCTCTTTCTGTTAAAGTTCGTCTCGTTGAGTCTGACATTTTACCTCATTAAGATCTTCATGGTTCTTGGCACTGTCAATCATTGTGTCTGCTTTGTGTCACCTACAAATTCAATAAACATGCTATTTATGCCTTTATCTAATCCATAGCTAAAAATTTTAACAGTATAAGGTCTAGCACAAAACTCTTTGGAACCCTAATGTCTAGTAATCTCCTTTTAAGTTGACATTGAACCACTCTACTCTATCATATTGCCTGAATCTCTCTATCTTGTCCCCTTGGTCAAATATTCAGTTGGAATCAAGGTAAATTATATCTATCGTTTAGCCCTGATCTATCATTCTAGTGGGGAAGCCCTTCTTACTCAGTGATTTCAGCTTCCTTTTCTAGATGTTCACTCATTATTCCTTCTTTAGTATGTTCTATAATCTCACAAGGAATCAAAGTCTAGATCATTGACAACCATCTTCCTTTAAAAAAAATCAGGATCATCAGCTTTCAAAAATCTTGTAGCACATATACTATTCTGCATAATCTTTTTAATGAAATCATTGACAACTTTTCACTCATCACTGTCTTCTCAGCCTCAGAAGTTATTGATCAACATTAATAGCAGTTCAACCTACCTAGTAATTAAAAAGGAGACAGGTAAATAGGGAAAGAGTATGGTATCATGGAAAAAAAGCACAGTATCTGGTTCAAATCCAAGCTCTGTTACTTATTACCTTGGGTGAATCATTTAACCTCATAAGGCTTCTATCTCTGCAGCTATAAAGTAAGGGGGATGGTCAAAATTGATTACCTCTTAGTTCCTGCCACTTCTAAATCTATGATTCTGTGACTAAAACTCCTGATATACATGTAAAACTATAAAAGGCATTTGTCTACCTTATATATTCAATCATAGGACTTGAATTGTCCAGTCCTCTTCTCACTCGTGAGTGAATGAATGAAAAAGGATTTATTAAGCACTTACTATTGGTCAAGCACTGTGCTAAGAGATGGAAATACTCATAGAAAAATGAAAACAACATGGTCCCTGCCACCAATGAGAATGTACTATAATTGGGTTGGTGGATGGGTAGGAAAGGCACATAAAGAAAGTTCAGTTACAGGCAGAAGGCAAGGCCCAGGAGTTGTTAGATTACATGAGTAGGTCAGAAGAGAGCTCTGGGAATTTGGAGGTCACAGAATCAGGGAAGATGGTCAGGTCTTAAGGACCTGAGGAGGCTTTGACAGGTCAAAAGTCAGGGTCTAGTGGTCCTCCATCTCATCAGAACAAATAGAATTGGTGATTCTCATTTTATCCAAGCCAGGTGAATAGTGAAGGAGCCTGGGTGGTTTCTGTTCAACCCAGACTATGGGAGAGGGGTGATGTCTTTCCTATACAGGGTTTAGGGGTCTAGTGAATTTTGGAAGTGAGATTCATTTAACATTCTCTCTATAGATTCTGTATATTTGAATACATACCGGAAAGAATGCACACACACATACACACACACACACGCACACGACATGTATCAGACAAATCATTCTTGACTGTGATTCATATCATTGCCTTTAGTTGTCATGAAAGCAGTTGATATCTCTTCTAGATTTGGGACTTCTTAGATACTATATATAAGATGAAAGGAAATGTTAGCTATAGGTTTACATTGTGCAACTGTTGAAATTTCAGAGCTCAGAATGAATTTCTAGATATGTACTATGGAAATGAGTTGGGGGAAAAAATTAAATAGAAACAAAATAAAACATCATCTTTTTGTAGGCTGCATAATTGTTTTTTAAACAAATGTAATAGACTTTAATAATGCATGCCCTGCTGCCTGCTTTTTCTTCCTTTTTTTTTCTTTGGTTGTTCCTCATTCGAGCTAAACCTTGCCCTTACAAGCAGTTAGAGTAACACTTTATAGCAAAATTTTTCATGCTTGGCAAATTGTGATTCATATATTCCATTCTTGCTATATGCATTTTCTCTCTGCTTTCAATAATATGGATTATGTATATATATATTCCCATACACACACACACACACACACACACACACATATATATATATATATATATATATATATATATATATATATGTATACACACACACATATACATAGACACACACATACAGGTTAATATTCACATGTTGAACACATGTGAATTTAGGGACATCCATGTATGTAAATGTATATATGTATCAATATGTATATATGCACAAATGTATATATAAATACATAAATGCACAATCAAAATATATGACATAATTTTGCACTTACAAATGTATATGTATACACAGATTGTACAATATGACATATATTTGCATATACATATTTAATGTATACATAGGCAGGTATAGGTGCATATATGTATGTGTATGTATGTGCATACATGTGTATACATGTACATACATATATGTAATATCATATCAGATGTACAAAATAGAATAATCCTATCCTATATGTATATGCATGCATGTGTGTATATATACATATACATGTACATGTACATATACATATAAATATACAGATACATATATATGTATATAGCCTTTATAAAGGTACAAATGTATGCACATGTATGTATGTGTGTGTGTGTGTGTGTGTGTGTGTGTGTGTGTGTGTGTGTGTGTGTGTGATGCATGTATGTACTGTGTGCCAGACCTATGCTGAAGCATTGAGGGACTGGATCTGACTCCACAGACTTCTTTGATAAGCCATCCTCAGCCTTCCCTCTACATGTGAGTGTTCTTGACCTCTTTGCTTAGCTCTAGATATTCTTTCCTTAGATGAGCTTTTCTATTCCCAGGACTTTGATTCTCACTTCTATGTAGGTGACTCCTAGATTCTAGCCCTAATCTTCCCTCTCAACTCCATTCCCACATATCTAGACTTTAGAACAGGAAGTAACTTGAGGGGTTATTGAGTCCAACCCCACCATTTTATAGATGAGAAAACTGAGGCCCAGGAGGTTAAATAAATTATCCATTTCACATTTTCAGTAACAGAGCCAGGATTTGGACCCAAGTTCTCTGTCTCCAAATCCAGTATCACACAGATACATCAACTTCTAATAGAATATTCACCTGTAAGTTCCAGCTATACCTTGAATTCAATATCCAAAAATGAACTTATTATTTTCTCCTTTAAAACTTCCCTTTCTTCTAACTTCTCTCATTTCTGCTGAGATCACTACTGTTCTCTGAGTCAGGTAGATTTAACATCTTGGATTCATCTTTGCCCCTTTACTCTCCCTCCCCACCCCCAACAGGCATCATATCCAACAATCCATCTTTTCCATTGTGACAGAACTACCCTGTGAGTCACAAAGCAGCTACTAGTCTCTTTTCTTTCCTCTTCTTACAAAAGATCTCTAAAAAACCTTCAGAGAAGTCTCCTTGGTTAAATTGCCTGGCCCAGCTCAGCTGCACAGAGGAACATGAGAATCACAAAAACAAATGGAAAGTCAGTGCGGGTGCCTTTTGTGGTAACTCAACAAAAACTCAATGAGAGGTGTTGACTGGAAAGGAGGAACTGCACCTGGATTCAGAAAGGCAAGAAATAAAATAAAAGGGATGGATTCAACCTATGTAATGACCCTACCAGCCTCCCTACCTTCTAAAAGAAGCTCAAAAACCCCTGATAGGAAAACTGAGTCACTCTGTCAGAGTAAGACCAGCAAAGTAGAATGTTTGAATATCAACTAGACTTTGTTTCCCCAGAAATCTTTCCTCCTCCCATTACCAGGAATCAGCATCAGTCCTCAGGTCCAGACAATTTACTCCCTTCTCCCAATGCCTGATCCTTCTAGATCCACACAAAAACCTTATAAAAATCAACTGGATTTTACTGGTTTGTGGAGAAAGTTCCTCCAGGGATTGCCTAACTCCATCTAGGGCTCCAGTGGACTGCCATGTACCCCTCTTCCCTGATCTCTCATTTTTTAAGTATCTTCCCTCAACCAAGCTATCTTACTTTACTGACATGCATCTCTTATATCCTTGTCCCGATTTTTGCATTCCAAACTTTTAAAAAATCTGTGCAAAAACACTATAAGTCAGACAAGAGTGGGAAATGACCCAGCAAGGGAAAGAGGGTCCAATGGATCAAATCAGATAATATTTGTGCCTTGGCATAGTACCCAGCACATAGTAAGTGTTTAATAAATGCTTGTTTTTCCTCTTCTAGCTATCCATAGCCCCTCAGGAAAGTTGTAAAACTGAGAACTGAAAAACCTCATTTTAAACAAGTCAGAGACACATTAGGTCTAAGTATCAAAGAACTGGGAAAATGCTTTAACACTAACCTCTGGAATTTCCAGCAATCCTAGGCAAGGTACAAAGGATGGACATTTCTCTTGCCTCTAGAAATCCTGATATCCTTTATTATTATTGCTGTCCCTGGGTGGTGGTTCTCTAATTACTGAAGACTATATGGGTACTGGGGGAATTGCCCCTGCCAGAAAGAAAGAGGGTGAGCTCTCTACTCAATATAGTGCTCCAAAATGTGTCCTCCCTGTGTCCTTTATTGTGTAAATAAACCTATTATTTATTTTGAAGACTTTTTGAAGCTGATACTTTTGGGGGGAGCTAATAGCCTACTCATGAAGGAGGTATGCTGTATCCTGAAGTTTCTGCCTAGATGGGGGAAAACAAGACAGATAAGTGAGTATATTACCATTTTTACAGTGCTATACACTGATAGCACTGGAAATGGAGTTCAGGGGAAAGATTAAGCCTGGAGACATAGGTTCAGATTCTATGTCTCCAGGCTTAATCTTTCCCCTGAACTCCATTTCCACATATTATAGATTTAGAAAGAAGAGACCCTAGAGGTTATCTAGTTCAACTTCCTCATTCTGGAGGTGCCCCAAGGGTACTTTTAAAGTACCCATAGATTTTGGCATGTCTGTTACAGGGACCTCCCACCAGCACCTCAAATTTAGTATCTAAGCCAAATTTATTATCTTTCCCACCAAGTCAGTCACTTGTTCCAAATCCCCTATCTCTGTGGCTAGGACCATTCTTTCAGTCACCCAGGACTGAAATGGTCTCCATACCTTTAGAATTCTCTCCTCTAACATTGAGAGTTTAAGGGGCAGGTAGGTGGTGCAGTGGGCAGAGCCCCGGCCCCGAAATCTGGAGGACCTGAGTTCAAATCTGGCCTCAGACGGAACACTTGATACTTACTAGCTGTGTGACCTTGGGCAAGTCACTTAACCCCAATTGCCTAAAAAAAAAAAAGGAATGAAAGAGTGATTTTAGGCATAGATCTGACCTGTCCCTCCCTTGCTCAAAATCTTTATTGTCTCTTTTGCTTAGAGGATAAAATATAAGCACTTTAGCCTTATTAGACCTTCCATAATATGGTTTCAACTGCCCTTCCTGGCCTTATTTACCTCTTTTTCTTTTTTTTTTTCCCATGCAATTTCAACCAAACTCTACTGGATTCACCTGCCTCTGCTCATTTGGCCAGGCTGGCCTGCATGCTTAGAATATACTAGCTCTACATTCCTGACTACTGGAAGCCTGCTTATCCTTCATGGCCTAACTGGTACTATCTCCTCCATTAAGCCTCAGGCTCCGATTCTCTCCATGCTCCATCCTCAGCTGAAATAATCCCTACCTCTTTTTTATTCAGATATATTTTCCTTTACATATTTTTGTGTATAGCCTACCCCTTTAAACTGTGACTTTTTTGTGTTTTGCTTTTGTACTTTTAAAGAATAATTTTTCTTGATGTTTTCTGTTACGTTACCACTGCATCTCTCATTTCCTTCAACCTTCCTGAGAGCCATACCATATGACATAAGTGTGTTCTTTTTTGAGAGGGAAAGAAAATCAGCACAACTGACTGATATATTGAGAAAGTCCCAAAACAAGTGCAATGTATAACACTTGCAGAGCCTCCCATTACCACAAATGGGTAGGTTGAGGGTGTCTTCTCATATCTCTTTATTTGGTCATGCTTGATCTTATAATTTTGTTGCATTTAATATTTTTTGGTGCGTCGCTGTTTCCATTTATATTGTAAATACTATGTATGTTTACTTCACTGTGTATAAGTTCAAATAGATTTTTCCATGCTTCTCTGTATTCACTGTTTTTTTTTTGTTTAGCACTTTTATTAATGACAACTAATAATTATGTAATCAAAATGTCACTTACACTTCCTAAGCATGCAATTCTTTTTCTCCCCACTTAATAGTATTTACACGTAAAGATAGTTTTCAACATTCACTTTGAAATAAGATTTTGAGTTCCAAAGTTTTTTCTTCCTTCTTCCCCTCTCTCTTCCTCAAGATGACAAGCAATCTGATATAGGCTATAACTGCACAATCATATTAAACATATTTCCACATTAGTCACGTGGTGAAAGAAGAATCAGAACAAAATGGAAAAACCACGAGAAAGAAAAAAAACAACAAAAAAAGAGAAAATAGTTTGGTTTGATCTGCATTTATACTTTGTGGTTCTTTCTCTGGATGTGAATAGCATTTTCCATCATGAGTCTTTGGAATTTTTCTAGATCATCGTATTGCTGAGAAGAGCTAAATCTATCATAGTCAATCATCACACAATGTTGCTGTTACTGTATGTACAACATGTACAGTGTTCTCCTGGTTCTGCTCACTTCACTCAGCATTAGTTGATGTAAGTCTTTCGAATTTTTCTGAAATCTGTTTTCTATTTTCATTTCTTACAGCTGTAATGGGTGAAATCTGAAATAAATGAGGAAACAAAGGTTTGCACTTCTGAGAATATCAATTTATTAAGCAATGCATGCCAATTGCATAACAATCAGGACCAGGCCTTCTCAGCTTGGCACCCTGAATACAAGGGAAAGTAAATTTTTTATGCGTTAAAAGAAAACAATTAGCAGGATAGAAACCAGGATACAAGATTAGGTAATCTGATTTCTAATTTGAGAGAAGATCAGAGACTCTTCTAGCTGGAAGGAGAAAATGAACAGGTGTAATTCCCTGAAATCAGAAAAAAAGAGGTGTCCCACTCCCCTTTAAGTGTCTGTATAAATGTTACTTCAAATTATTGTGGGGTAGAGGTATGTGTTTGATGGTCTTGGAGAATTATGCCTTTTGGATCTCTCTGTCTCTATTTCTCTGACTGTCTCTCTCTCCTCTCTCCTTCAGCAGTATGATGTAGATGTGAGATTAATGCTAAATTAAATAAGATTATTTCTGGTAGACTTGTGCTGAAAACATAAGTACAGCATTAATACATTTCTTCCACATTAGATATTTAATATTTGTTGAATTTAATTGAAATTAATAGACTGAGTGTTGAAAATTTAAAAAAAAAGGTCTTCATATATATCTGACAAGAAAATATAATGAAAAATTCAGCTGAGTTTAGCTTAATGTTGTAACTTAAATTCATCAATGTCTACATGACTAAAGGATATGAAATCAATATGTGTCAGATAAATATATGCCCAAATAATTTACAAACAAGACAAACATTAGAACTTCAGGCATTTCTGCACAGGAACAGAACTACCATTCCTTGAATTTCACATTCTCTCTTTGGAAAACAACAGTGAACAATGCTGGGTAAGAGCACTTGACTGACTTCTCTGGGGTTGACCTCTAAACATTAGAGATAGCCTTAATTGTACCGTTAGATGTGCTTTTTATATTTTCTTGATACCTTTTGATTTTACGTCATATGTTCTTCCCCTTCTCATTCAGTAAATCATATTTTACAAGAAATAGTTGAAAAAAGTAGAATAAAACCAATCAACTTCTATCAAGAATTTATTTTTTCTCATCTCCCCCCAACCACTGAAGAAAAACAGAAGGCAGAAAAATACAGAATGCCTAGATCACATAAGCACAGTCAAGTAAAACAAATTCCTATGCCGGTCATGTCCCAAACTGGCATTTTTCATATTAGTTTCATATTATCTTTTTGTCATGAGGTAGTCATATGGAATCATGTGTTTTTCATAGCTGTAAGATCTCTCAGATGTCATCTAGTCTAAACACTCCTTTTTATAGATTAGGAAACTGAGGCCCAGAGAGGTCACAGAAATAATAACAGAAGTGGGAGTAAAATCACGGATCTGCTGAATCCAAATTACACACACTGGGCCACATCATTTGCCCATCTCCCACCACTATTATGTGAAAAATAAGGTGGAGGAAAAGAATGGGGAAGTGGTATCTAATAATACGGTAATAATTTCTAAGAAGCTGCAAAAGAAATATAGGAATTTAATATGGGGTGACCCATG